ACATTCTTCCAAATTCTTTGGAGTTTAGGGAAGAACAAGAAGTTTGTGTGGCCTAGATGCAATCATGAGCTTACTGGGATGGGAGGGGGTGTAAAGGGCAAAAAATGCAATCTCATAATTGGGCCTCTTACTCTACTCTGGTGTCTTTCTCCTAATCTTGAATTCTGGTGTTTCTCCTGTAGCCCCTTTGAAGTTCAAGTAGGTCCTGAAGCTGGTCCTCAAAAAGTGAGAGCCTGGGGGCCAGGACTTCATGAAGGAGTTGTTGGGAAATCTGCTGACTTTGTGGTAGAATCCATTGGCCCAGAAGTGGGATCACTAGGTAAGCCAGTCTAGACAAAGTTAGAGAAATGTGGTGCCCAAGAACATCTTAAATAAAAGGCTGTCTCAGCCTGTGCTCTGTTAAACATATCTTAGTGGACTAATTGCTAATGTTCAGAAAGCAGACTTCCTTGATATAAAGCTGGAACATGTATTGGAGACCATCAATGTATATTTTCCCATGTGCTTTTCTTGCAGTCCCCAATTATATTTACAGTTAATTAATTTAGTGTTGTTTTCAATAACTGTATTCTTGTTTGGTCTGTAGATTAAGTTACGGCTGAATGTATTTGTTTTAATTACATTGCAGTTTAATTGGTGATTAGCTGCCCCAGATGTATGCAGGATATCATTTGATGTATAGGTAAACAATCACAGGCAAGTAGGCCTGACTGCTCTGTTCAGTCTGATTTAGCCATGCTTTCCCCACCAGCTCCCAGTGTTGTAACACACACTGGGCTGCCTGTCTTAAGTGGACAGGGATCACAAAAGTGATGGCGAAGTATAGCGTTTGGCCCTGTTTGCCCTAGAAGTGCAACCACTCTTAGCGACTCTGGGCTGCCTTGTAGCAAAATGAAGTGTATACTGGGGGTTGCCTCTACCAAAACCTACTGCAAAGAAAAGGATTGCTGCTGCGGAAGTGAACATCCTTTAGAGTCCTATCAGCAAAATCATAATTGACACTTTTTACAATTCTAACACACTTGTGTTCTTTTTAGGTTTTGCCATTGAAGGTCCATCCCAGGCGAAAATTGAATGTGATGATCAGAATGATGGGTCATGTGATGTGAAGTACTGGCCCAAAGAACCTGGTGAATATGCTGTTCACATCATGTGTGATGATGAGGACATACAAGACAGCCCCTACATGGCATTTATCCAACCGACTGCTATAGACTTCGACTCAGACAAGGCAAGGGCATGAGGGTTTATCTCTTCTTTAGATTATAACTTATCAAAGTTTCTTGAGCAATTCGTTCTATAGAAACATCTGTTTTCCCCACTGAAGGAGAACCATGCTGTAGCTTGTCATGGGAAACCTTGGAGACCATTAATGCAGTTGATGTTGCTGCTTCATCCAGTGACATAGCAAGAGATGGCAAAGGTCTGTCCTGGGTTAGTTTGGGCTCATTCTGATCTAGCAATTGATTGCTAGAGTCCTTCTCTGAGGAGTGCTACAATCCTGGGCATTTGTTATAGCAGGATTTCTTCCAGAACAGAAAATATTCTCCTGCAGTAAAATATATGCAATCAACGAGGAATCTTTATTGGCTTCTGAAAACAAATTTTGTACTGATCAGCCCACAGTGTCCATGCTGTAATAGAGTCCTGGCATTTTTTTCTACTCTTGTTCATCTTTTCTAGGTAAAAGCGTATGGTCCAGGTCTGGAGAGAACGGGCTGTATTGTGAACAATCCTGCAGAGTTTACAGTTGATGCCAGTGAAGCTGGGAATGCTCCTCTGAAGATATATGCACAGGTACGACCAGAACCCAGATATCATTTGCTTCTGGTAAAGATGGCCCAGACATCGATTTGCATTCAAACCTTTAAAATGTACCTGATGTGTGTTTGCTGGGGAAATCAGAGACTTGCTTTTAAGTATATTTAAGACTTGAGCTGTATCTGTAGTCTTAAAAAACATGTAACTGATCAAGTTTTTGGCTCAGGGCAGGTTCATACTTGCCTTTATGTCATGGGAGCTACCTTCTTTCAGCCTCCTCCCACACAAATCTGGTAACATGCTGACTTTCTGACAGTTGCGTCATTGGCCTCCTTCATGTACTCTGTCATCAGGGGTGGTGATGGAACCAGCTACACTTTAGATAAGGAAGGTGCTTCAGAGTGGGAGTAGGTTGTTTAAGGCTATGACATGCTTGACTAAATGTAGCACAAAAGATTGAAACGTGCAGAACAGCTTGTGGGTGTACAGTGAAGAGGCAGTAAAGATTTCCACTTTGCTGCTGTTCTAGTGGGCAGGGAGCTCTGGCACCATTTTCTGTTGCCCTTATGCAAATCATTCATTCGATTTGATTGCACCCTTCCTCCAGGAGCACAGGGAGGCACATACATTGTCCCTTCATCTCAAAGTAACTGTTAAAATCTAGGCTGAGAGAGATGGTGACAGCCCCAAAGTTGCCTAGGGTGTTTCATGGCAGCATGGGAGGTGGAACCCGGCCTTAATCAGACTGTAGCTCAGGAATCCCCAACTTTGTTGAGCCTGCAAGGCATTTGTGGAATTTTAAGAAGGAGTAGTGAATGCCCCTATAAAATGGCTGCCATGAGAGCAGTGGCAGTCACAGATCTGGGAGGTCACAAGTCAAGCATCATCCTATGATGGAGACAGCTGCTTGCAAGTTCTGAAGTGGTGCTGCCTGGACTGTTAAGTACCAGCTCTGAGAAGGTGGAGAGGTCTGGGCTGGTTCCTTGTTTGGGGGATGAGATGGTCTCCCGTGTAAGTTCCTACAGAAAAGGGAGCATTTGTTCATTGCAGAGCCACAGAGACAGACGTTTCCAAGTCCAGAGGCATAGGAGGCTGTCCTTAGTCAAACAGAGCTCACAGCTGTGACGCACCTGCCCAGGATGAGCTCAGCACTTCGTTAGTATGTTGGAAGGGAGAAACTCAAAGCTCCCTGTGCTGCTTATTCAAGACTCTTTGGGTTTTATCATCAAGAAGCAAGGGCGCATAAGGAAATGCATTGGCAGGTGGTACACTGTGCCTTTGACCACTGTACCGTACTAGTTGTCCATGGTAGCTTGTTCCTGCATATAAAAAAATTATTTCAATATAGTATCACTTTACTGTGTTATAAGATAGCATATCCAAAAGCATGAATTGATTTTGTGATGCTCTTAAATGGACACAGAAAGCTATGTTGCTTGGATCAACAATTTGGTAAATACCAGTAACTTCTAAAATCATGTTTGTTTTTGGTCCAAACCATTTCTCTTTAAGGATGGAGATGGTGAACCGATTGATATTCAGACAAGGAGCAAGCCAGGTGGTATCTATGCCTGTTCTTATGTTCCAACAAAACCAATGAAGCATACACTTGCTGTCACTTGGGGAGGAGCTAATGTGCCCAGTAGCCCCTACAGGGTAAGTAGTTTTTTTAAAAAAATGTTCCTGGTTGTCCACTTGTGGTCTGTCTCCATACCTCATGTGACACTGGTAATATTAATATACATATTGTAGTTGCAGCAGAATTTCTCCAAGCAAATGTTGCATAAAGTCAAACCTTGTTGATAAACAATGTGGAATGAGGTTGAAAGGCATGACTATGTTAGGGCATGAAAGTTAAGGCATTGAGTAAGCAAGTTTCACCTCTGTGACTCTCATACCTTGCATGTCAAATTGTGTTATTTAGGTCCAGATAGGTCAAGGCAGTCATCCTCACAAAGTGAAAGTGATTGGACCTGGTGTGGAGCGAACTGGTCTGAAAGCCAATGAACCTACTCATTTCACAGTAGACTGCACAGAGGCAGGAGAAGGTAAAAACAGACACACATTATTGGGTTGGCTTCCTGGCAAACCTGTCATAATTTCCCACTTCGGTAAAAGGGGGGCAACACGCTGTAGTAGAGGAAACCCTTCTTGGGAAATATCCAGAAACGCTATTATCTCCTAGTATTAAGCCATAAGTGGTGATGTAAGGGAGCTACTGCAAAAATGATTGGCTAACAAATCTCTTTGTTCCTTCTAGGTGATGTGAGTGTGGGCATTAAGTGTGATGCTCATGTGCTAAATGAGGAAGAGCAAGACATAGATTTTGACATCATACATAATGCTAATGATACATTCACTGTGAAATATACGCCACCTGCAGCTGGGCGCTATACTGTCAAAGTGCTGTTTGCTGGAGAGGTGTGTAGTGCACAGGAGGGATTGGGATCAGGGCTAGAGGTCACACCAGATCCAATGTCTCTCTGAGTGTCTGCTTTTATATAGGCTTGATTGCCGTGTGACTTAAAGGGGTTTCTGGGCCTATTCAAATATTTGTGTTAATTTAAAGTCTGTAAAGTTTGCTTTTTCTTTAGAAGCTTTCCCTAATGCATAGATGTTACAGTAAGGATGATGTATTTAGTATGTTCTGGCTTTTATGATGGCATTAGTTTTCTAGCAAGAACTTAAAAAAAAAAACTTCTGGTTTCGGGTAAGCTGAGAATCTGTAAAAGCACAGAGCAGGAAATAGAAACGCTACTTGAACACTGCCAACAGAAAATGAAGCCAAGCTCAAACTTCCACTTGTCACAAATGGGGTATGAGATCACACTGACATTGCTTAAATGGCCACTGAACTTTTGATGTGTTTTTGTAAGTTGGCGTGTTTAAACCAAACTTGGTCCGAATAGGACAAAATGTTTCCATGAAGTCTTAGAAAAAACTTAACTCTATGGTGTCATTAGTCCAACACACAAAAGACACAAGTGGCTTTTGTTCTGTGATAGATTTAGAGGGGAAGCAATAATTTGGTACCGTGGAAGCAGTTTATAGAATGGAAGAGGCAAGAATGTTATATATATGAAAGAAGGGCTTCTGCAACACATTGACTCTTGAGCTAATCCACTTGCTCTGCATTACTTTTTAATGGAAAGCTAAGTTGCTGCTTGCATTACAACCAAGTTTTATTGTCTCAAAGGAAATCCCAACCAGCCCTTTCAGAGTGAAAGTAGAACCCTCACATGATGCAAACAAGGTGAAAGCTGAAGGGCCTGGACTAAGTAAAACTGGTGAGTTTTCTACTAGTTCTTTTTTTGAAATTTAAGACTGTAAGTTTGGGGAGTCTCCCTGTACTGGGCAAACCTGCATCTAGGACTGATGGTAGAATACTAAGCTTGGGACTTGAAGGGATAAAATTGACTCTTGTATCTTTATCACATGTGGATCATCTTCTTAGGGTGACAGATTATTCCAACTGCTTTTCCTATTTAGGTGTAGAAAATGGGAAGCCTACACACTTCACCGTATTCACGAAAGGTGCTGGGAAAGCTCCTCTGGATGTTCAGTTCCATGGACCTCTGGCAGATGCTGAAGAAGCTGTCAAAGACTTGGACATCATTGATAATTATGACTATTCCCACACTGTAAAATACACTCCAGTACAGCAGGTAGGCTTCCATGTGAAGGTGGGTAGTGGGCTTTCCCATAATGCACAGTGACAAATTTCACATGACATAAAATGGCAAACCAGGGCTCCTACATTACATTCCAATATCTTTCTATTAAAGAGAGCAAGGCTACAGGCACAATCAAACCACCTGACTGACTAAGCAAGTACCCCAAAAGTGCATCTGAAGCTCAAATTTTTTGTTCTCTTGTTCCAAACTGTCAAATTTAGCCTGTCATATTCAGCAACTTTGCTGCTGGAAGTCCTGTTATTGTTGCTGATAGCTATGTATTTCTGAGTGGTATTCATTTGTAAGCCCTCTGTCACCTTTCAACTGACAACAAAATCAAACCTCACTTGGCAGGTTATTCCAGATCAGTTTCCACATCCTCTGCACAATTCTTGTACATCTCAGGAGCTGGCTTTAGCTTCAGCTTCTGGTGCTATGAGTCTGGTGTAACTGTTGCCAAAAGGTGGCCTCTTAACCTACATCCTGTAGACTTTCATGTTGGCAGTGACCAGTTGAGTCTCCTTTCAACCCTAAACAGTTTCTAAATGTATGTACTGCCATGATTCTGCTTTAATTGGATCTTTGTAGCGGGAACCCTGATGCCAGCTGTCTCTGGCACAGTTCTCATGAACATTGGCAGGTATAGATGGAAATGGCCTTTATGACTTCTGAAACAGTGGTGCTGTGTACTGCAGCACTTTGCAAACGTAGAGTGTATTTGTATCTTGTTTCTAAAATATGGTTCACTCTCAGCAAATGTGCTTTCTGGAAAACTTAATACATGTAGATTGATTCTTGTAAGTTCTAAGCTTTTCCAAACTGGCAGTACCCATTAAAATCCAATTTACCTATTACGAAGGTGGTAGAATTCTGGTTTGGACTATATTCGGCACAGGCTTGTTATTTATGTCATTTATTCTGTGAACCTAGGCAGGTCATGAGAGGGAGGGCAGGAAGGGTTTTATCAGCGCTTAGTTCTTGTGGCTGTTTCTTACACGCCCAGGGAAATGCTGATCACCACTTTGGGGTCAGGAAGCAATTTTTCTCCAGGCCATTTTGTCCATGGATCCTGGAGGGTTTTTTTGTCATCTTCTGGGCATGGAACAGGGATCACTGGGAGTGTAGGGGGAGTTATTTGTGAGTTTCCTGCATTGTGCAGGGGGTTGGACTAGATTTCCCTGGAAGTCCCTTCCAACTCTATAATCCTCTATGATTCTCTGAGTGAATTACTGAAATCACTGCAGGGTCACCTGCCTGCTAGGACCCTCCTCCATAGGATGGATCTTGCCTGTCCCTGTAGGAATTGAAATGTTTATCTACCCAGTGCCTGGCCAAAAGGCCCAGGCCTCCACATGGGTGACTTAAGACCAAATAGAGGTCCATAAAATACGCAGTTAAAATAGAACATATAGTTGGTCGATACCTAATGAAAAGGGAATTGGTTTTAATGCCTGCCATGCTTTGAATCCAAATAGGCTCTCTGTTACTGAACACAAAGTATCCAATTCCCCAGTTATCCCCTAGTTGAAAAAACAGCATCAACTTACTTGGTTTCTATAACCTTTATTCTGGTATATCAACTGAGCCTGCTGACTCCTTCTCCTCCCCTCACTTCACAGACCAACTGTCACTTTCTACATGTAATGTTCTCTTATGAACCCCAAATCTTGTTAACTCAAGCAGATAAAAATTTATAGTACAAGATTCTTTGCTTGCAGTAAACTGGCAAGAATTACCATAACATTATCCTGAATATCTTCTTGAAGGATTATGTATGTTGAGAGTGTTTTTTGTACTGTGTACCTGTGGTCTGAAGTTGCACAATCCTGATTTCTTCCACCTCATTCTGTGCATTGCCTGTATAGACCAGCCCTACTACACTGGATTACTTCTGTAACTTAGCCTCTGGGCTCCCACTTTGATCAAGGAACTAGAGAGAAATTCAGGAAACTGAATGAAGGCACCTGGCCAACATTCTGTCAGGGACCGAAAATTATAGTAGGTGGTGTTACTGTTAAGAAATACCGCTGTGTTTGAGCAGTGCACCATATATGCATCTATATTTTTGAGGTTGACCTGGCAAGAGTTCTATTGTGAGAAGGGCGAATGAGTAGGCTTAACTAAGGGGGTGGAGTAAGCAAATACTACAGGCTTTACTCTGTCAGATGGTAAATATAGCAGTGACAAATGCTAGCTATCAAACTACTCAGAGCCTTGTGAAAACTTAAACCTTCATTCTCCAACTCTTATCCAAGGAATTAAGTTGTGGAACTACAATATGATACGCACCTTAGTCATGGCAAGTTAATACATTATGCTTTGTTGGCCCATGCCCAAGTAGTCTGACTGAAAAATCTGAATTTCAAAGTGTCCTTTCTATAGCCTTTTCTGCTCCCTCTGGTTTATTAGTGTTCCACAGAAACGAAACAAAGGCAGCCCAAAAATCCTGGAGGCATTAATCTTGCACCCATATGGGAATTTTATAGATGGCTGCTTGGCAGTTTCTAGGCAGTGAACACTACTTGTATCTTGGCACCTAATTAATCTTCTAAACAGAAGCAACAAAATGAAGCCCATGCATCTTGAGAGGTGAGAATCAGTGCAATTCAGACACAAGCAGGCAAAGTGACTTGGTAATGTGAACACCAAAAAGTAAATGTGTAGTGTATTCAAAGCTGCCTTGAATGCATGATATGTTGTGAAACATCTAATTGAAGTGTAATGTAAAGCTTCGTCCTGGGCTAGGATCCAAATCCATCCAATCGTGTTACTAGCCCGGGAAGCACCTAACCAATCACTTTCAAGCAAGCTCCCTGAGTGGGAACATCCGTTGATTGGTCCTTATGGTGAACAACCTTATTGGTTGGTATTTGTACAGTGGGTGTGGCTACATTAGCCGGGAATGTTTAAAAGCAGGACAGCTGCAATGTAAAGGTTGTTCTGGCTATCAGATGTTGATCCGTGTTGGAGTTGTGTTCGAGTTGAAGAATAAAGTTGTGTCCTTGCTGAATCACTCTCCGACTGCTTTGTTAAGCGAGCAACTTAACAAAATGATAAAAGAGTCATCCGTGGAGCTGAGGCTGACTTCAGCGTGTGGAAGTTCTTATTGTGTACAGTGCGTTTAGATCTGTATAGCTTCAGTCTGTTGGGCTCAAGCTCTGTAGATTCACAAGTGAACCTGTGTAAGCTGCAAAACCTTCACCAAGACTTTGGTAAACAAATTTTTATTATTTTCTTAGGAACATAACATATAAAATTAAATCATTCAGTCCATTGTTTACCCCATTCCCTTCCTCTCCTCCCTCCAATGGCTTCCCGCAATGCTTCACTCCCTTCTTACAAATTTCTTTATATCATTAACACATCATTTGTTATCATACAACCTCAAGATAACATCATTTGACTTAATATTGATCTAAACATATTAAGTTTTGTTTTACATCCCAGTTCTTTTCCAGATATATTTTAAAGTCATTCCATTCTTGAAAAAACACATTATCTTCTTGATTATTCAACTTCTTTGTAATTTTATCCATTTCTGCCATGAACAGAACTTTTTGTATCCAGTCTTCGATTTCTGGTACTTTATCAGTCTTCCAAAATTGTGCATAGATCATCCTCGCTGTTGTGATAAGGTACCAGAATAAAGTCCTTTTAGTCGAGTTAACTTCTTCCATTTTTAATCCCAAAAGCAGAATTTCAGGCGCTTTTTTGAAAGAGCACTTAAGTATTTTTTGCATTTCTCTGTGGACTTTTGTCCATAAAACCTTCACCAAGACTTTGAATCATAAATGGAGCTCCTAGCCAATTACTTTTTTTAGTGATTTGCAACTGTAAGGGCTCAAATGCCTAAAATAGGAATATTTTGGGTATGGTTGTCTGTAGAGATATTAGTACATATCTCATCAGTATATGTTCTTATGTTCTTAAAGCCATAGCCTGATTGTGTGGAACAATTAACTCTACCTCAAAATTCAGTTAATTCATACGTTTTGCTTGATTTTTGCATAACACGCAAAACGATTCCTTCAGTTAACTGATGAAATAACTGGCTGTTCAGTGAATTTTATGGAACAATGGTATTTCAGCAGAGCAAGCTAAGAATGAACTAAAAGCAGACTTGGTAAAACATGCACAAGGAGATGGATTTTTAGCTAAGACTCACCAGAGAAGCCCAGTGTTCTAGCCAAAGCATATAATATATAGCCATGTGTAAATTCTGAAGGTAAAGGTGTCTGCAGGCACAAGCATTTGGTTTCCTTGCCAGTTAGGGTTCCTGCTACAAAGCTGCCTTTGCTATTGTATACTTGTGTACTGTGGAAAATTGAAAAGAACCTGGAAGTAAGGTAAAACTTCCCTCCTGCCTATTAAAATGTGTAAAGGAAAGCTGAGGAATACTTAATGAATATCAAAGGATTGACATTTGAGCTGCTAGTATTGGTCTCAAGTATTGAAATATGAATCTGCTCAATTTCTCTAGGGTAACATGAAAGTTCTAGTGACCTATGGTGGAGATCCTATTCCTAAGAGTCCATTCACTGTGGGTGTGGCAGCTCCACTTGACCTGAGCAAAATTAAAATCAATGGCCTGGAAAACAGTAAGTGAGCTGGTCTAATCTGAACCTTGTTTCAGTTGGAAATTGGAAAACAAATGAGCAATTGAATACAGCTGTAGCATAATAAGCTAGGTTGTGCACGTATTTAAGTGCCATCAAGTTGCTTCTGACTTAATGGCAACCCAATAAGCTAGGTTGGGTGATCCAAAGTAAAGGTCAAGCTAAGAAATAAGATAGATTGGGTGATCTAAAATAAAAGTCAAGTTACCACTAGACATTTGAATTTAGAACCACAGTCAACTTGTTCTTGGAAATATGGAGGGTAGTATACATTAGTGCTTAACATATTAATCTATAATTGGAGAGCAGCCAGTTTAACGCCAATACTTGCAGTGAACTTTGCTCATCCAAGCACTGAAGTTCAATTTTGGCTAGATATTTTTTGACAAGTTCCTTTTAATGTATTCAGTAACACTAAAACAATGCAAAGAGAAGAATCTTTCCTAATAAGAACTCTGTTAAACCAGGCAACTTCTGGTTTAAAAACCCATACTCAAAGCTGCCAGTCTGCTGAAGCTATTCTTACTAATAGCATCCATGGGCTTTTTTAAAGGCTATGGAGGGGGGTTAGGGGTATAGATCTAAGATGCTTGGAATAAGAAAACACTTTAATAGCTTTATGTCTCATGGTGCTTGAATAACGTATAGATAACTTAATGAAACAGGCTGCTTTTGTTTCTTAAAGGAGTTGAAGTAGGGAAGGATCAAGAATTTCTGATTGACACAAAAGGAGCTGGTGGGCAGGGAAAACTTGATGTGGCCATCTTTGGCCCAACCCAGCAAGCTTTACCATGCTTAGTGGAGCCAGTTGTGGGCAAAGAGTGCAGCACTGCAAAGTACATCCCAAGGGAAGAAGGCGTTTATGTTGTTGATGTAAGTTACGATGGTAATCCAGTGCCAGGAAGCCCTTACAATGTAGAGGCTACTCTACCACCTGATCCGTCCAAGGTAAGGGCATTGCTAACTGCTGATCCATGGAGTGAGATGGAGCTCGTATTGCTTGGGATGCTGTCATGGATTTATAATATGTACTTTAAAATGCTGTTTTAATGGCTTTGCTTACTGCCTTGGGGACCCTAAGCTGTATGGAAAGACAGCATAAAAGTGTTCTAAATGTGTATTAAGCTACTGCTATATATAACCTTTAGATATGAGACATGGAAAAGAGTTAATAAGCTTTCAGCAATTCTCAGGTTTGTGCTTAGTACAGAATCTGGTTTGCATAGCTTAAGGCAGGTTAAAGTGATCTGATGAAACTCTTTGCTGAATGCTTCTTAATCTACTAGAATGTAGTTTCTTAAATAATACGGTGAATATGGAAATTAGCACTTGTTTTCTTTTTTGGAGAGTGGTGAAGGTAGTGACTGCGGTCCAGATTTAAGTGTGTAGGGTCATCATACAGCTTAATGTTCTCATGGCCATACCTTAGAAATTTCTGCAACTTAGACTGTGCAGCAAGAAATGTAATTCTATTTTCTCCTTGATTTTTCTAGACAACTGACATACACATCTCTAAAGCATGTATTGTGTCATGGCCTAAAAGCCTGTATGCTACTTGGGTGCATGTTGAGCTTTATGTGACTCATGACCAATAAGCTTATTTCTTCCTTCATGTTCCCCATTGAGATAATTTAACTGAAAATCACTATGTAATGTATTGGGTATTCATTGTCTAACAATGACTCATATGTAAGCACTCTAGCTTTTGTTTCCTGGATTTGTGCTAATTAGCTGTGCCCTCTTACTTTCAGAATCAATTAGACTAACGAGAATCAATTTGATAAGATGTGGTAGTTGGCTAATGAGGCAAACTATGCCATGTCAGTACCCTTTAAGCAGAAAATAGCACACTGATAACTTGGGGTAAAGTGCCTTCTGGTGGCTTAAAGTGTAGGAGTGACTGAAACGGGTTGATAGAAATATTTAAATGTATTCTTCTTTAATGTATTCTTCTTCTAGGTGAAGGCCTATGGTCCAGGCCTTCAAGGGGGCCTTGTAGGAAAACCAGCAGAATTCACAATAGATACCAAAGGAGCTGGAACAGGTGGTCTAGGGTTAACCGTGGAAGGGCCATGTGAAGCTAAAATTGAATGCTCAGATAATGGTGATGGAACATGCTCAGTTTCTTACCTGCCTACTAAACCGGGTGATTACCTTGTGAATATCCTGTTTGAAGAAGTCCATATTCCTGGCTCCCCTTTTAAAGCAGATGTTGAATTTCCATTTGATGCTTCAAAAGTAGTTGCCACAGGCCCTGGACTTGAGCATGGTAAAGTAGGTGAAGCTGGATTGCTGAATGTGGATTGCTCAGAAGCTGGACCTGGAAAGCTGGATATGGAAGCTGTGTCTGATTCTGGTTCCAAAGCTGATGTTGAAGTTCAAGATAACAAAGATGGAACCTATGCAGTTACGTATGTGCCTCGTTCTGCGGGGATGCATACACTCCAGATGAAATATGGTGGAGAGCCAGTGCCAAATTTCCCTGCACGGGTCAAAGTTGATCCAGCTGTAGACACAAGCAAAATCAAAGTGTTTGGGCCAGGAATTGAAGGGAAAGGTAGGTACGCTGTTAGTCTGTTTAAAGGCAAATTCCAAGGAGTGCTGTGAAATAACATTATGGATGTGTGTCACGTGTGGGAATACAGAATGTATGCTTAGATATATGCTTTCCTAGAAAATGTGTAGGCAGGTGCGTTTGTCAAGACTTGTATACGTGGTGGAATGGCAGAGCCAGTTTCAATGAACTTGTACATATGTGGGCACCAAGCATGGCTCTGTTCAGTGTTGCTCTTCAAAACCTTTACTCTATAGATGTCTTCCGTGAAGCTACAACAGATTTCACTGTAGATGCCAGACCATTAACCAAAACTGGTGGAGACCATATTGGAGCTCAGATTGTAAATCCTTCTGGAGCTTCCACAGACTGCCTCATCAAAGACAATGCTGATGGGACGTATGCAGTAGAGTTTACGCCATATGAAAGAGGTGAATGCTTCTAATTTCTGGAGGGATGGGGGGAATGGATTTTACTAAGTAGCAGCTCTGTCAACTAAGCAGGTAGAAAATGGATTCTTACTTCCTGTGCAATGCAAGACAGCCTTAATCTACCAGATGGGGATGAGGTCATTGGTTTAAACTGAAGCTAATTTATAAAGGCTAACAACTCAGTTCTCTTGGGGCAGAGAGCACTGCTGCTAGTCTAAACTGCCTCATGGCCATCATAGCGTCAGAGTGCTCCAAACTAATAACATTCCCTTCCTTCCTACAGGTCCTCACAGTGTTGAAGTGACCTACGATGATGTGCCTGTTGCAAACAGTCCTTTCAGTGTTGATGTCACTGAAGGGTGTCATCCTTCTCGTGTGCTGGCTGAAGGAACTGGGCTAAAAGAAGCCTTCACCAATAAATCAAATCCGTTTACTGTTGTCACTCGGTAAGCATTGTTCCTTTTCAACCGTGAAGTATTCATGTGGGGAATTAAGTCATACTTCCTGATAAGTAAGAGTATCTAGACTGGATGTGTTGCATCTGTTTTTGAAAAAGTAAGGCTGTCCCAACAGATGTGCCGTAAGAGAGCACAAAACTCTAAACCACTCTTGTCATTGCCCCAAATGCTTCCACTGACAGGATCACTACTTGTGATGTATGCACTATCTGACAAAGGGAGTGTTGACTCTCAAAAGCTTGCACCCTTGAAAATCTTGATGTTCTCTGAGGTGCTGCTGGACTCTAATCTAGCTGTTCTGCTGCAGACCCACATGGCTGCCCTCTGAAACCGACACTATTTCTTGACCGCTTTCCTTGGTTTTTTTTTCTTGCAAATGGCAAACCAAAATGTGTGCTTAAGGTCACTTCAGCATTCCACAGGTTAAGCTAAAGATGTCACCACTAAAACTCACCTGTATTAAAAGTTTATACAATGCTTGTACACCGCTTAATTGACAAATGGTGTCATTTAGAGGTAAAATGCATACTTGTGCCAGGTATAGAAGCCTGGCAAATTGGGCCTAAGGAAACAAAGCATTATGACAATATAAGCATGATGGCTTTTGTCTTTTTTCCTCCTCCCACAGAGGTGCTGGCATTGGTGGCCTTGGGATAACTGTTGAAGGGCCATCAGAGTCCAAAATAAGCTGTAAAGATAACAAAGATGGCAGCTGTAGTGCTGAATATATTCCTTATGCTCCAGGAGACTATGATGTCAACATAACCTATGGAGGAGAACATATCCCCGGTAAGACCTGAGATCTCCTAAGGATTAATATTAAAGGATTGACCCAGTTTTGTAGACTAGGAATGGTTGGGTTCAAACCCCTACTAAGTCATGAACCGGACTTATAGTTGCAAACAGGTCTGGAGAAAAATGTCCCTTCCCTTTAATTGAGGCTTTATGTGTAGAAATGGACAGTTGAAGCTCTTCATGACATGGAGATAAATGACTTCCCATTAAAGCCCATTGAAGGGACAGGACACATAACTAAAAGTGGATGACTAGTTGCAAGGTAGCTATGAGGATAACATGGAAGAAAAGGAGAATTAAGGGCAGTGTGCAGAATCTGCTGGAGGGGACGGTATGATAAATGTGTAATTAAAAACTTATCCAGAATACATGGGAAAATACATGGGAAAATACAGGGGCTGATACAAAACCCCCCCAAATCTGGAGTTAGGAAAAGGCTAGCTTTTAAAAGCCTGTTTTTGGTGGATGACTCCAGTCATTTAGTAACACATAGGGTAGCTGCTGCTGTAGTCTCCGTGTCTATCAAATGCTGTTTGAATTTATTTAAATTTCTAAACTTCAAGGCTTCATTGTTGAAGAGTTAATTACAGTTTAGTGATCATCATAGTTTCCTTGCTAGAAAACTGTCAAAACTTTCTGTATAATGCAGACCTAAATTATTGCCTAGCAAGCCAAAGCTTAACAGGTGAGGCAGTCATTTAAGAAGAAGAAGAGATTGGATTTATACCCCGGCCATCACTACCCAAGGGAGTCTCAGAGCGGCTTACAAACTCCTTTCCCTTCCCCTCCCCACAACAGACACCCTGTGAGGTAGGTGGGGCTGAGAGAGCTCTGACAGAAACTGCTCTTTTTTCAAGAACAGTTGTGCCAGAATTATGGCTTGCCCAAGGTCATCCAGCCAGGTGCATGTGCAGGAGTGGGGAATCAACCCCAGTTCTCCCAGATTAGAGGCCGCGCACTTAACCACTACACCAAACTGGTGTAGCCTTATAGGCTAACCTTATAGCCTTAAACAGCCTTATAGGCAACACCTATTGAAGTATTTGGAAAAACGTTTTCTCAAGGGGTTCACTTTGTTAGAAACAACTGATTCCATTTGAAATAGATTGGGCTCCTTGGCTCTGCCCTGGTGGTGGTAAAGTCTCTGCTTACCTACCTCACAGGGCTTTTGAGGATAAAATGGGTTATGTTGTCTTCAACTCTTTAGAAAGAAGGGCTGGCCACAAATGGGCAGAAATGAGGAGATTAAGCAGGCAGGCTTGAGTAGGTAGTACTACAACATAACTACCAGTTGGTGATTGCAAAACTCTTAAGAGATCACTTTTTATGAACTGGCTTGAATTTAGAAGCATAAGTGATGGACGTTGGCTTGGTTTAAGCTGAACTGTGAATTAAACTCCTGACCCAAATGTTTATTACTAGCAGATACTGAGATAGACAATGCTCCCATGGTGCCCCATTCTCTTCAGCAGCAGCCTGTGAGGTGAGAATGAGACTTTGAGGGTCTTGGAGAACACTATGAGGGGACTGATCCTCTTGTAAGGCTCCAGGCCTGTATTATCTGAAACCTCACAGCCAAAGCCATAGTATGGTACTTCGTGAGAATTTTACCATTAGGTGGGAATGAAGTCTACTAATCTCAGTTCTTGCCTCAAGGGCTGTGCTGCTAAGAGTGGATGCTACAGCTAACGCATCTCCTATCTTTTGCTTCCTGTGTGCATGCTGTTAAAATTTGCTGTGTTACCTGCAGGCAGTCCATTCAGAGTTCCTGTGAAAGATGTCATTGACCCCTACAAAGTGAAAGTTGCTGGGCCAGGTTTGGGAACAGCAGTTCGTGCCAACATTCCTCAGTCCTTTACTGTTGATACCAGCAAGGCTGGTATAGCACCTCTTGAAGTTATGGTGACAGGACCCAGAGGTAATATGTTCCTTGTCTAACTTATTATTGAAGCATATTCCTGACTGTGTGTTTACATCTGTCATATACAGATCTGAAGTATATAAATGACATTGCTTCAGAGTGTACCACCTGCTTAAATTTTTTAACTAGCAGAATTAAGCTAGAAGTGCCAAATAAAGTAGCATAGTGTACAGTCCTGAATTTCTTTTTTGGTAACATTTCAGTATTAATAGCTATTTCAAAACATTAAGTCTTTGAGGATCAAGATGCTTCTACCAAATGTGACATTTACGAACCCTGTGAGCAGTGTTCCCACTAAGCTGAGTTAGTCTGAGCTAGCTCACAGTTTTTTAGCCTCTGTCGCTCACACATTTTTGTCTTAGCTCAGGAAGGCTGGCTCCAGAGCAAACTAATTTATGCAGTAGCTAGATTGCTTGCTCATTTCTTAAATGTCAGTAGCTCACAAAGTAGAATTTTTGCTCACAAGACTACAGCTTAGATGGAGCATTGCCTGTGGGGGAACCACTGTTAAATCTAACGATTAGTAGAGGTTTTGCCAGACTACTGGGAATTGGAAGAGGCATTCATATGAAGGTCATGTGAGTAACTTGTGCTAAGCATGGTCATCCCACCAAAAAGTGTATATTTTAAATTATGGTGTGTTGAAGGTAATAATCAAGATACCAATGTGCCACTGCAAAAGTATGTGTAGGCCAAAACTTTTAGGGCTTAAACGAAATTAATTTAGTATATCAGCTGTACTGTGCATTCTGGCATCACCTAGCTGAACCTGAGAATGTGTTGTAATACAATGGGATTTTTGAGATGGTGATGAAGCCTTGATAATTGTTTGTTGAGCGGGCCAAACATTGCACAGGAGTAAATTGTGGATGAGGATGCCTGGCTGTCTTTGGCTCAAGTGTGTTAGTTCTTGAGGAGCTAGTGAAAACAATGGCACAGGCCTTCAGACTAAGAGAAGGATGTAAGCTGGAGCAACGTAGTCTGAAGGAAGGAAAGACCCTGAGTAGGCAGAGGTGCGTCTTCTATTCTGGCTATTCCAGCCAATGTTTAATTATTTGAATTATCCGGCCAAACTGTGGCTGTGGACTGTGAGTTGATATTCTGTATATGACAACCAAGGGCAAAAGTTTCTGTGTGGTATGGCCCAAATGCAGTCATGCAGCCTTGTTGAAATGAGCAGTATAGCTAGTTCACTATTTAAGAGCTGGCATATCATTGCATTTGACAAAAAAATTAGTAAGAGCATATTTAATGCTATTTGGAGCAAAATAAATTCTGCAAACATTTGAAATGGAGTAACTCCAAACTGAATTCTGAATTAAAGGGATAGCTGTATTAGCCTTAAGGTTCATAAGAATAACTTTTATAGCTTATGTGTTTGTGGACTAAAGTCCACACCACCAATTAATTTCTTTTATTTGCTGCCATCTGAAAACTGATTTCATTTGGACTTGTACTACAATAAATTTGTAGTTCCTCAACGGTGGTGGTGGGGAAGAAGCAGCATTGTTTATATTCTGGAGCTGCTCATATACTGCAACTAGGTTTGCCAGCTCTCGATGGAGAAGTTCCTGGAGATTTGGGGGTGGAGCCAAGGGAGAGGAGGGACCCTTAGCAGAGTCTATCCTCCAAAGCTGAGGAACTGATCCCTCTAGTCTGGAGATAAACTGGAATTCCAGGATGTCTCTAGGCCCCACCTAGACGTTAACAACTCTAACTGCAACATGAAGCTATGCTGAATGTGACACTTGGAACTAACATGGCTGTTGCATGTATAGCCGGTTTTAGCTTTGCTGTATTATTCCAAACTAAACATCTCTCACAACTTAGAGGTCCTTGTTCAGATAATTAAGTTAACAGTCTTTTAATTCTAGCTGATGAGACGGATTCCCAGTCATGGCGCAGTCCACTGAAAGCAATTTCAGAGTTCTTTAAAGGTGACCCACAGGGTGAATCTAATGAGACAGGTTTGAACTTTCACTAATTACCTCTGCTTATAAGAAATCCTCTATAAGCTTTACAGCTATAAATTGCTTCTGTCAATTAAGCTTTCCTGTATTGTGGCTGCAGTACTAATTTTTCAATTAAGCGCTCCTCTGCTAAAACATACTGTGATGTTCCCTGAGGAGAGTCACTGTAAAAACTTCACCTCGGTAGAAACTGCCCTACAACTTGTCACTTTCCCACTGAACTGGGGTTATTGCCTATGACTGGCAGCTATCAGGCAAATTTCAGACAAAATACTTTCTCTTTTAAAAAAGAGTATCTGAATGAAGCTAGTTTGATTTAATATTTTTACCAGCTAACAGACGTAGTTTCTGTTACCAAATTGTGATTACCAAGGAACAGTTTTTCCCAGACATGTTTTGATACCTTTATTGCGCAAAACACAATGCCCTGTTGCCAGTTTTTTTCTTATTGTATTTGTTTAATTTGTACCCCACTTTTCTTCCCACTGGGGACCCAAAGTGGCTAACGACATTCTCCCCTTCTCCATTTTATCGCACAAAATCCCTGTGATGCAGGTTAGGCTGAGAGTTTTGCTTTGCCCATGGTCACCCAGCAAGCTTCCATGGAACAGTGGGGATTTGAACCTGGCTCATAGTCTGACTGTCTAACCACTGTATCACACTGGCTGTCTTAGTAATACCTGCTGCACTTAATTTACCCACACAGTAAAAGGAGCCTTAATTAACACTCCGATCCTTGTCCCTTTCTCCTTCAGCTGACATCTTCCAACTGTTGAAATTCCAAGGTTGATTCTTAACTGATTCTGTTCCTATTGGCAGTTGAAGCTCCACTCTCATTGGTTTCTCTGCTGCTGGGTGGTTACTCTATCCATCATGCATGCCTTGCTTGATTAATATGTGTTGGTTTTTGTCACCTAACATTAGCTGTGGCTCTAAGTATGTCTAGTCACAAGTTAAGTTTTGAGTTTGTAACTAATGCTCTGGAATGGCTGTAGGTATAAGAATCTGTGTGTCTTGACTTTCAGAAGTAGGCCTTTTTCCAAATCTTGATCTAGCAGATCATGGAAAACCTGAAAGTGCATGTAAAGCTGTTTATTTTCTCTAATATGTCATTCAGAAACATGGATAAAGCATAACCGAAATCACTATTTTATACTAACAAGTGGATTAGATGTAGAACCTCATCCAATAGTAAAACAATTTCTGATTCTGGAATCTTTTGAGTATGTCCGATGAGTGACCTAAACAGCTGTCTAATTTTGGGACTCTTAGCTTATAGTGGTTGGAGCTGAGCTAGCCAAGGAGCTGCTTGCGATTTCTTCTTATAATTGGTGAGGTAACAGACCAGGGATGATGGGGATAAATTGGCTTGCCTGATCAGACCATAACACAGATGTTTGTACAGATTGCTTGCAAGGCTTTAAATTGAGTGTGTGCATACTTACACAATGTTTCTTTAACACTGATGTTTCAGTGGAAATGTAGTTGAATAAATTATTTTAAAAGTAGCCTTTCCCCCTATTTAGGCTTGGCAGAACCAGTTAAGGTAGCTGACAATGGTGATGGCACTCACACAGTGGCATACACACCTATGCAAGAGGGCCCATACACAGTATCAGTAAAATATGCAGATGAAGAGATTCCTCGGAGGTAAGAATTTCAGTCTGGGTTTTTTGGCTGGGGGAGGAGACAAAGCAGTTATGCTTTGGGAAGATGGCCAGTAGAACTCTCTATCTGGGGTTGGTTGCCCTTTTGCAACAGAAGGTCTGTTACAATCACTTTTTTCTTCCAAGTGTTCATGGGAAAGATGTAAGTTAATTAAAAAAAAAGTTTAAAATGAGACTACAAAATGTTGAGTGCTTACAGAATCCTTCAATGCCTAGTGCTTTTATGTAATAGAGAAATGAATCAACAGGCATTTTACCCTCCTCTCATCCTGATCCCTACACACTAACAGTTAACATGTGCATATACTAGTTAATGCAGTGCCAATGGCAGTTGTGTAATGTTCATCATTGCCTTGCGGTGTGATGTCTACTGTTTTAATTGTTAATTATGTGAATTGCTGTGGGGGAAATTCACTTCTCTCCTTTTTAATAGCCCTTTCAAAGTCAAGGTGCTTCCAACATACGACGCCAGTAAAGTGACTGCTAATGGGCCAGGCCTTAGCTCCTATGGAATCCCAGCCAGCGTGCCTGCTGAATTTGCTGTTGATGCTAAAGATGCAGGCCAAGGACTTCTTTCAGTGAACATAAGTGTAAGCCATCTTATCTCTTACAGGTTTTACTTAAATGTGTACACTTTCTGAACAAAGTCATTAAGCGTAGTAGGGGAGCTAGGATACTGCTTACTGATAAGTTGTAGGCAATCAGTAGAAGTTAAAGTTGGTATAGGACAGATCAGCTTTCCATAGGGCAGTGCCCCAAGACTTTTCTCAAAAGTATCCATTACTTTTTGGGAGGCCAAAATATAGCAGGAGCACTATAGCATCCTTATTTTGAATTGCTTCTAGGCAAAACTTGTGTATTCTGATAAAGGATGCAGTGAATTTGGAGTATATGATAAAGTGAGCAATTCGTGGCTTTTCAACTACTTTAAACTAGGCCAGACAGCAGTTTCCACCGTAAAGGAGTATGCACAAGGTTTTCTGGAGGGGCCAATACATGCTTTGGAGATAACCATAGAGCTTTGAAAAGACTATTTCAGGGCAGCTTTGTTTTTAAAAAAATCTTGCAACACAGACACTGGTTTCAGACGTATATTAACCCCTGAAGTGAATCAAAGCAGCTTGCTTTAGCATCTGAATACATGTATGCCTTGTCTAATGAATAGTAATGCCAAAAACAAACAGACCACACTCCACTTTATGAGAGAGGTTACAACAAACAAAATAGTATCTTAGGTTTTACAGAGACTACCAAACATTTTCGTATCCAAACAGTTGCTGACACAGCTATTATAGACATCCCCATAGAATATGACTGGCAACATCAAACTGTTCTGTAAGGGTCTCATTGGACTAGTGTCTTTAGAATGTCATGAGTTTATATTTAAGGGTGGCTTTGTGCGTTGAAATAAATAATGGTCCTTACTAAAAATGGACTGATGTTCTTAACGTTTTGGGGGGCTTCTTATATAGCATGGGGGAGACAGGCAGGTAACTGGCTGGTGCATTATGCCAGAACCACACATCATTTGCACATTCCCTGCTGGCACACAAAGTACTCTGCACATTACTGTTTTGCAAGACCTGGAGACTACAATGTCCGACTGGCATAAGACTTTTTTTCTTGGAGTGTTTCATAGGTAGTAACAGCCCTGTGATGCAGCACTCCATTGTAAGCCGTAAATGAGCCTCAGGTATCGCAGCTACTGGATCTTCTTTAAAAACTTCATATCCGTAATTTATCTGAAAACTCTTGTGGGCTTAAGGTATTTCAGCCTGCTTCTCCTTTAATGGCGACTTCACTTCTGACATGCAGGACCAAGAAGGCAAACCAAAGAAGGCTCACATCCAAGACAACAGTGACGGGACATATGTTGTAACCTACATCCCAGACAAGACCGGTCGCTATTCAGTTGCTGTTAAATATGGTGGGGATGATATTCCCCTTTCTCCATATCGAATCCGGGTAACACCAGCAGGAGATGCCAGCAAGTGCCTGGCAACAGGTAGGGTTCTGCATCCCTTGCTCCAACTTCCCTGGCACTGCTTAAGTAAAAAGTGGGCCTATTGCGTAGGAACTAGGCAAATCATATTAAAACCTTTCTTCATATTAAAACTTCACATGAACACACTGACTATAAGAATTGGGCTAAAACAAACAGTGCTTGCTGTTCCTGCCTCATAATTGGAACAGAAATTGTGGTAGTCTGCACTGAAGAACATTTTGATCTTCAGCTTATGGACAGTCTGTGTTCAGTGTGCAGTGCAATCAAGGGTAGCCCGAACAGTGGCTTGTGAAACCAATCAAGGTGTGCATCTTCGCAGAGTAGTACATTACTGAGAAAGTGGGATGGTTTTGGCAATGCGGGAGCTTTATTGTACAGCTAAAGCAAAAGTTACCCCCTTCCGTGTTAAGTGATAATACTGCCTGAGCAAGGCAAAAGATGCTGAGAACAGACTTGAATCTCTTGGCTGCTTACCCTGTTTGCTGAGTGGGACATGTGCCAGTCTTGTATATGCGTGCAGGGGGATAAGTTCAAGCACTGGAACTAAAGGGCAGAGAGTGTACCAGTCTTGCTGCAAGGCATCCTACCTGTCTGAGGTCAGAGGTGACTTCTATAGCAGTCACTGCCTGATATGAACTTGTGGAGTTTATGGGAAAGCATTGAATAGGAAGAAGTAAAATTTTTCTGCAAACCTTTTTTTTTTACTAATGCGGTGTCTGCATATATGTGTTGTCAGTTACCTTTCACTTGCCATGTGATCCTTGGTTAGCTTTAAGGTATTAAGGTGGCATAAAAGGCTCAAAAGAAGAAAGTTACTACAGGGTATTACTACTTTCTTTGTAGACTCCCATGACAACTGACACTGGTTAATAGGACATAATATGGTAATAGGGATCTTTAACACCCTGTGGGTTATGACAAAAGGAAGACAGGTTACTTGTGAAGTATGTAAGAACTTCTACTACTGTACTGGTGGTTCTCCATACCAGAGTAGTCTGTGCTAGAATAAACCTCATTTCACAAAGCATTACCCTCCTGTAGAATAACTAGTTAATCCACTTGACTTCTGCCTTAAAATGTTTCCAGTGCCTCTGGATGTTATCTCTAAAGGCTGCAGTAAAACTTTTTGGCAGTAGAAATGCCTAATTCACAAGAAATGAAACATGACTGCTGCACTTCAGTGCCACCTCCTAATTTTCCTACTTTCACATGCAGGGGAACACCTGAGCTGTCCTTCAAAGTGAGGTCAGTGTGTGGGCTTGCTTGTTTACAAACATTTCAGAGCAAGGTCTTGTCTCTTTCAGAGCTGGGATTATGACTTGGCTGTGATGCTTAATGATGTAGAGTTCCAAAAGGAAACAGCATCCCTTTTTCTTGGCTGAGGGTGTGGAAGGCTGCTCTAACCCTTGTGTTGCTGACTCCCTTCCAGGTCCTGGCATTGCAGCTACTGTGAAAACTGGAGAAGAGGTTGGCTTTGTAGTAGATGCTAAATCTGCAGGGAAAGGGAAAGTGACATGTACTGTCCTGACACCAGATGGTACAGAAGCTGAAGCAGAGGTCATTGAAAATGAAGATGGGACATACGACATTTATTACACAGCTGCTAAACCAGGAACCTATGTCATTTATGTCCGCTTTGGTGGTGTGGACATTCCAAACAGCCCCTTCACTGTCATGGTAAGAAAAATAGATTTTGAATCCTTGTAAGTAACCAGGCTTTTTGGCTGCAGGGGGGTACCTTGAAAGGTGAGAAGCAAAGATCTTCCCACACACACACACACGCTATTGAGTTCATGGCTGTTCCCAAGACAGTTGCTTCTCTTGTCTCTGGCTGTTGAAATTGGGCAGCACTGTTCTGGAAGCCAGATTGGCCCCTGGACCACCAATTGCCAACTGCTATCAGAGTATTATGCTCCTATAAATTAACTACTGGATGACCTGTTGTGCAACTGGGGATCTCCTAGCTGGATCTTATGGATTAAAAATTACTTAAACAACAGGAAGCAAAGAGTAGGAATAAATGTCACAATGGAGGGGAGCAAGCAGTGGGGTCCCACAAGGATCAGTATTGGGGCCATAGAATGATCATAAATGATCTGGAACTAGGGGTGTATCGTGTATTGGCCAAGTTTTCAGATGACACAAAACTATTCAGAATGGTGAAAGCCATGGCTGGATGGAAAGAGTTCCAAGAGGATCTCCACAAATTGGGTGAGTGGGCAACAACGTGGCACATGGTGTTCAGTGTTAGTAAGCGTAAGCTGATGCACACTGCGGCAACCCCCCCCCCAAAACTTCAAGTATAATGGGGTCTGTCTGAACTTGCTGAGATTGGGAGGGGAAAAGATCTTGGGGTCATAGAAGATAGCTCAGCGAAAGTGTCAACCCAGTGTGCAGCTGTGTGAAAAGGGCAAACTCTATGTTACGGATTATTAGGAAGGGGATTGAACACAATGGATTAAGGATTTTAGAACTCTATCAGCATTTGAACATGTGACATATAGACCGCATTGCATATGGACTTATTTTTAGATATTTGGAAATCATTTATAGAAACGTATGTGTAGGTTTGCCACCACTGTTGTTACAATTTTGTCTTGTATTTATATATTTTTTTCTTTGTTTTAAAAATACTTAGTTGTTGGATTTTAGTTTTTCCCTTTTGTTCTGTTTTCCTTTTTCCCCAAAATGGGTGAAAGGGATTGGACATAAAATGGCCAATATTATAATGCCCCTGTTATATATCTATGGTGTGGCCTCATTTGGAATGCCTTTTCTCCCTCTCCCAAAATACTAGAACTCGAAAGCACCCAATGAAGATGATGGGTAGTAGATTCAGGAAGGACAATAGAAAATACTTCTGTACACAGAGCGTGATTAAAATGTTGAATTCGCTGCCAGAGGTGTAGTGATGGCCATAGGAATAGATAGCTTTACTAGGGGATTAGATACATCCATGGAGGACAGGTCTATTAGTGGCAGCTAGCCAAGGTAACTAAAGGGAATTGCTACATTCAGAGGCAGTCAGCATTGGAATCCCAGTGCCAGGGGGCAATATCAGGGAAAGGCCTCAGTCTCTATGCCCCATTGTTGGATGTCTAGAGGAACTGGTTGGTCACCATGTGAGACAGGATGTTGGACTAGATGGGCCACTGTTCTGATCCAGCATGGCTCTTCCTATGTTAAGGGACATTGGATCTTCAGAAAAGTTATTAGTGTGGACTGAGGGAGAGTTTAGTGAGGTCTTCCTCTTTGGAAACTGATTATCTAAATCCAAATCTGGTTGCTCAGAAAGGTGCCACCTGGCAACCCAGGTACATTAAATACTTGCTGATGCTTGCCTCTCCATCAAGGAGGGGTAGGGTTGTAGAAGTAAGAAACAGGGAAGGGGTGGACTATGTTGTTAATTGAAACATTGCTGGGGGCTGTGGTGCTAACTCTTTCTTCCCCTGTGGAGCAGTGGTTTGCTTGGACTTGGCATGCTACTGTTGACATGGTTGGTGCCACTTCTTTGCTTATGCAAGGGTAAGATACACCCCAGAGTCGTCTACACATTTAATCTGCCTTATGATATGCTCTTTATGAAATATATGAAGTAGGTGTTTCTTAAACTATACCTTTTGCCACTAACCAGGCTACAGATGCAGATGAAGTTGCAGTATTATCTCAGGAGCCACTAAATGCAGCCTGTCCCCCTGGATTCCAACCCTGGGTACACAATTTTTTACACTTCCTTCCATATTCCATCCAAGAAATGGTCTGCCTCTTGGGATTGCTTACGCTTGCTTTCCTTTGGTCATATCTTATCACTGATCAAAATGCTACTTGTGGGGTTCAGATTTGATTCAAAACCTCCCTCCATTGCTGTGCTAACAACTTCTCAAACAGCTTCTAACATTACAATCATTTAAAGGAAAATGTGGTCCTGTTTCCATTAAAAATTACATATATGATTGTTCTCCCATAAAATGGCAAGCAGCATCTTCTGGACTTCAGTGGAATTACTGTTGCAAAATTATTGTTGAATATAACTTTTCTGGCTGTATGTTCTGGTTTCTGTGTTACTTCATAAATAGCTTTCTTCTAGGCCATGACCAGTTTTAAGCTTTCAGATGGCGCTCTTCTGTGTTCGTACAAAGTGTGTCTCATCTTCATTATATGCTCAATTTGTGTCTTTAAAAACATTCTCATTGAATAGTATTGTTTCACTTTCAAGCATGAATGGTTTTCCTGTGGGAGTGAATTTTCATGTTGTCGCCTCTGCAGTTGAATGATACCTGTCTTCTGGATGCAACTGTCTGAACTGTTCTAATTAGTCAAGCACAGACTACTTCCTATTGGTGTCCCTTTATGCATTCTGCTTTTCTGTTTTAGGTCACAGAAGAACCGTACATTCCTGGGGACATGAATGGCGTAGGGTTTAAACCCTTTGATATGGTTATTCCTTTTGCAGTTAGAAAAGGAGAAATAACTGGTAAATAACATTCAGCCTACAGTTCTATAGAACTCCTATTTTACCTGCCATGCTTTCCAAAGAGGAATTTTATTTTAGTCATATGAAAGAAATCAATTTAAAATTATTCTTCTGTAAACCTCCACTATCGTTTGGCCCAAGTAGGGACCAATACTCTTGGCTTAACTGCTTATTGGTCATTTGTTTCACAGCAGAATGAAGTGCACTGTTCTGGCCAATACCTTCAAGAGCATTCTAAATCCACCATATTTGACAGGGGGGAGGTTGGATCAGTGAAACATAACCAAGAGGTGATTTCTATGATTGCATGGCTAGAATAATTGCATGTCCTGACTTGGATAGCCCAGGCTCGGCCAGTCTTGGGAGCTAAGCAGGGTTGGTCCTAGTTAGTATTTGAATGAGCAGCCATGAAGAAATACCAGGGTGGCTGTGCAGAGGCAGGCAATGGCAAGCCACCTCTGAGTGTCTCTTGCCTTGAAAATCCTACGGGGTTGCCATAGGTCGGCTGTGACTTGATGGCAAAAAAATTGCTACAGCAGTAGGTTGGCTTCAGAGTAGCTATTGGATAAGGCTGAGGCTTTCTGCTTGCCTAAGGGGCTGTGTGTTCATACATGTATGGTTTCTGTTTTCCCCTTGAGCTGTGTCCCCCTGTGCTATATCTCAGGCACCTCATGACCCCTGCAAACAGTTTTTCAGGGGCTACAGGAGGAAGGGTAAGGTGGAAAGATCCATTCTGCAAGCAAAACTCTATTCAAGATTGTCTGGGTTCATCCCAATAAATGCTCTCGTTGCCTGAAAGACCATAACCTTGCCTGTTTTTATTTATTTATTTATTGGATTTCTTTTTTAAAAATTTTTTCAACTAGAAGCATATGGCTTATGTAAGAACTTCAGTTATGCCCACTGCATAAAGAGTGGATATTTTTTTGAAGCCCAGGCCTTAATGGGGGCAGAATGTTCTGTAAATACCTTGCAATAAATGCAGGGCTATCCTTATGGCCTGCTAAGAGCACATCTGCTGGGCAGTGTTGTCAGAAGACTGAGACTGAGTATGGAAGATTGAGTATGGAAATGCTGAGTATGGAAATGGAGGGCCTTGCTTTTGAAGTTGTTTCAAGCATTTCCAGTGTAATCCTTCTGTTATTCCAGGGGAAGTTCACATGCCTTCAGGGAAGACTGCTACTCCAGAAATTGTGGATAACAAAGATGGCACTGTAACAGTTAGATATGCTCCTGTCGAGGTTGGGTTGCATGAAATGCACATCAAGTACATAGGTAACCATATTCCAGGTGAGTGGAAACTGATAACACATTTTAGGAACAATTCAATTATAATTGTATTTGTGCACATTTCACCATCAATACAGTGAGTTGTGCTGGTTTTACCTTACATGGTTTATGCCTTATGAAACAGGAATGGAGACAGTAGGAATTCTTAGTGAGTTTTACAATCTATGCCAGATTTAAAATGGATTTTGCCAGTTTTGTGGTCTTTCCAGTATCACACTGTAACCTTTAATTAAGTTATTTTAGTGAGAAATACTATTGGCAAGCTGAATAAGGTTACATGGCGTGTGTAATGTATTCGGCCTTCTTCCCCAAGCTTTAATCTGTGAAAAGAATCACAGTGTAAATCGTTCAGGTGTGTAGCTGTCTTGGTCTGAAGCAACAGAACCAAATTTGAGTCCAGGAACCTTTAAAACCAACTAAGTTTTATTCAAGGTATAAGCTTTCATGTGCAAGCACACAAAAGCTTATACCTAGTGAAAATGGCGAAAGAGAATCTGAAACTGAGCAATATGCTTCAAAGTATATCAAAAGCCTTATGCCATACAGTGGTTCTTATATGCAATGGTTTATAAACATCTCCTGGACTTACAGAATGCTAAAATTTCCTCGACTTATGGAATGCTAAAGGGCACTAACAAATGCCAAAGATCTAAGTTACAAAGACCTCCATAAACTTTTGTATACACTCAAACATGTTCATGTTCTCTTCATATTTTAAGAGGCTTCATACAATCAGCCAAAACATTAAAATAACTTGCCCTAAAGTGCTTTCTCAGTGTCTCTCTGATCCTTTTTACAGAGAGTCCTCTACAGTTCTATGTGAACTATCCCAACAGTGGAAATGTGACTGCTTACGGACCTGGCCTTGTCTATGGTGTAAACAACAAGCCAGCAACTTTCACCATAGTCACAGAAGATGCTGGTGAAGGTACGTATCTCGCTGCCTGATGTTAAATCCATTTATGTTGAGTTGAATCCCATGACTTGAGGTGAAACTTACCTTCCAAGTAAACATGCTTAGAATTGCAGGACAAATACCTCAGACTGTAGTAGGGTGGCTAAAACTGATTGTAACTTTTTTGCTGCATTTTTCTAGCAACATCAATGGCACAGAAACCTGTTCAAAAGTGATGCTTGATTTAGTCATGTGCTACTTTCACTTGCAACCCAATTCTAGGCACACCTAATTCATATGATGAAGCTGCATTTCTGTAGTGCTTTCCACCTTACATTCTGCATTGCAGCTGTTCTGTCTGGTACCACAATGACTCATTAAGCCTGAAGACTTTCCCAACACCACAGGATTAAGTTTCGTGACCAAGCATGTATTTATGTCTGGGGCTCCCTCATCCAAATACAAGGCTCTTGTTGCTGCTCCATATCCCAGGAGAAATTCTGATGTTCACTTTGATATAAGGATTAACAGACTGATTTCCTTTAAGTGCTTATTCTCTAAAGGACTTTTTAAGGGAATCTTATTCTTTGTATTCAAATAATTAATAATTCCTTAGTGTACAAGGCAAGCCTTATTGCTGTCTGCAGAACTGTGCCACAGATCTGGGACAACAAACAGCTCTTAATCTGAACATTAAATTCAATATTGAACACATGAACACACATGAAGCTGCCTTACACTGAATCAAACCCTTGGTCCTTCAAGGGCAGTATTGTCTATTCAGACTGTCCCTGGTTCTCCAGGGTCTCAGGCATCTGAGACATCACCAGTTACCTGGTTCTTTTAACTGGAGGCACCAGGGATTAAATCTGGGACCTTCTGCATGCCAATCAGATGCTCTACCACTGAACCATGTTCCCTCCCCAGATGTCTCTGCTGATCTCTGAAGATGCAAAATGAAAAACATTCAGTAGCATGTTTCCGTTTTGACAGGTGGCTTGGACTTGGCAATTGAAGGTCCTTCAAAAGCAGAGATCAGTTGCATTGATAATAAGGATGGCACTTGTACAGTCACATACCTGCCAACACTTCCAGGAGACTACAGCATATTAGTTAAGTACAATGACAAGCATATCCCAGGAAGCCCATTTACTGCCAAAATCACAGGTAAGTGGACCTAGTAAAATTGACTTGTTGGGAATGAAGAAAGGATTAAGAATTTGGCATTTTTGAAATTTGGCGCGTCATACAATTTCACATAGAAAATGATCTTTGACATATTATTTTTATCATTATTATTATTATTATTATCATCATCAGTATTATTATCATCATCATTATCATTGTTATCATTATTGTTATAATTATTAACATTATTATTATTAACATTATTAACATTATTATGAACATTTATATCCCGCCCTCCCCAACGGGACATAGGGTGTAGGCTGCTTATAATTCTGTAAATCCAAGATAAGGATTGACAGTTTGACCTCATGGGGAAGTAAATTGCTTAATCTGTGTGTACTGTCTGACTTCAAGATCTGACCAGATAGCTTTGATTTAATAGAAATTCTGGTAGAAGTAGGTCTTTGTATTTGGAATACTAATATGAGGCTTGCACATATAGCTTTCTGGTTTCTTAAAATATAGATTTCCATGTGGGAGTCATTGGAATAGAATGTGCCAGTTGACTAGCAGATATTCATGTTGCCTTAATGCAGTGTTTTCAGTGTTTTGTATTGTCTTTATAAACTGAACAGCACTTTAAATTTTCAGTAAAATGTTGATCATTCCACAATGAGCAAATAGCTGTTGGAAGGCTGTTGTTCTAATAGGGGATTGTTTGTCTTTTTATCAAGATGATAGTAGGAGGCGTTCCCAAGTTAAACTTGGCTCTGCTGCTGACTTCTTGTTGGACATTAACGAGACCGATCTCAGCCTCTTGACAGCCAGTATTAAAGCTCCATCTGGCCGTGATGAGCCCTGTCTTCTGAAAAGGTTGCCCAATAACCACATAGGTAAGTTAGCCTTTTAGGAAGGCCATTATATTTGCAGTGGCTTTTGAAACAGTGACTAGTCTGTACAAAATGAGATGTCTGGGCTGACATGAATTAGTAAACTTGTGGGCCAGGGCAAAGGTGGAAGCTGTTAAAGTTTAATTTATTTATATGTATAGTTTCAGTTTATATACTACCTTTCCCTGAGTTCATAGGGCTCAGGGTGGTTGACGACAACAACAACAACAAAAATACAATATAAAATCAAGAATAAAACAGTTAAAATTAAAGTAAAAAGAACATCAAATGGTGCCAAAGTAGATACAGTATGTATTACTGTCCCATAAGCGGGAGAAAGCAAGGTGTGGGGAGGAAGGGTGTGCCAGATAAGATGGTACCCATTGCTGTCCTCAACCACACAAGCCTGGTGGAACATTTCTGTCTTACTTGCCCTGCGGAACTGCATAAGATCCTGCAGGGCACATGTTATTTGGCAGAGAGTTCCACCATCTGAAAAAGCCCTGGCTCTGGTTGAGAACAGCTGGATGTCTTTAAGGCTAGGGGTCACCAGTTGATTATTTCCCGCAGAGCTCTTCAGGGGACATGCCAGAGGAGGCAGTCCCAAAGATGCATGGGTCCCAGATCACTCAAGGCCTTAAAGGTCAGTACCAAAACCTTGAACCTGATCCAGTACTCCACTGGGAGCCAGTGCAGCGAGCGCAGCACAGATTGGATATGTGCGGTCTGTGCTGCCACAGTTAAGACCCGCACCGCCACATTTTGGACCACTTAAGAGTTTCCGGATCAGTTTCAAGGGCAGGCTAGCATACAGTGAGTTACAGTAATCCAATCTGGAGGTGACCGTTGGTGTGGATTACTGTGGCTAGGTCAGAGTGAGACAGGAAAAGGGCCAGCTGGTAGAATGCCAGTATGGCACCGTTCATGATCTGGATCTCTGTGGATAAGGAGGTATCCAGGACTCTGCCCAAACTCTTGGGTTTTTAATGAGTAGAGTGGGTTTATGTGAATAATTCCTGGTCTGTATTGCAATTTGATGGTGACCTTTTTTTTGCAGGGGTGAATATAGTTCAGCAAAGCCCTTTTTACTACACCAGTTTGGTGTAGTGGTTAAGTGCGCAGACTGTAATCTGAGAGAACTGGGTTTGATTCCCCACTCCTGCACATGCACCTGGCTGGATGACCTTGGGCAAGCCATAATTCTGGCACAGCTGTTCTTGAAAAAAGAGCAGTTTCTGTCAGAGCTCTCTCAGCCCCACCTACCTCACAGGGTGTCTATTGTGGGGAGGGGAAGGGAAAGGAGTTTGTAAGCCGCTCTGAGACACCTTTGGGTAGTGAAGGGCGGGGTATAAATCCAATCTCTTCTTCTTTTTCTTCTTCTTATGGAGTACCTAACCGTATCAGTTTTCTGCTCCACTGCTTCTTCCTTAT